ATATTTACATAATGAATGTTACTGATCAAACATGTGCTCATATAGATTTAATACGTAAGTAACAACTATTAATCTCAAAGTGTAAACATTAAAAAAGTTTAAATGATACATTACAAGAATAATTCAGAAAGTGATTTATGTTGTTTTAGTGTTGTACAGGTAGGTAGTCACTATTTTTCAAACGTTCAATTATTTTCTTCATTTCCTCCTGTCGAATACAATGCTAGAATAGCTTAACATTAATTTTATATTTTATTTTTACTTACATATATCAAAATGTGAATTTTTTTTTTTTTTTTGATTAAACTAACATTTAAAAAAAATTAATATTCGTATATAGGTACTTTAATTTATTGCTAGAGATACTAAAAAATATTGCATGGCTAATGAATAAAATATGAAAATCTGACTTAAATAATGTTAAATTAAAATCAAATTTTTTTTCAAAATATAAAGTACTCATGTATTAAACAAATATTTATTGATTGTAGAACTGATTAAAAAATTGTTTTAATTAATTCAAGATTTTCTAAATAATTGCAATTTAAAAATATACATTGTATATATACAATTTTACATACGATTACAGTTACAGCAATAAAAAATGTACTAAATGTTATATAGGAATAAACAAAAAGTAATTTTATAAACAATCTTTGGTATTTTAATTTGTTTATCGATTTACACTTAACAAAGAACTTGTATACAATAAAATATATAAAGATCCAATATAAATCATACAAGAAATGCATTTAGAAAATAATAATAATGTAAACGCTTTTAGTTTTAATTTACATCACAAGTTTCTGCTTTGACAGAACAATCCTTTACAAAAGCCAAAATTGTGTTGTACATTGTATAAACAATTGGTTAATATAAGATATTAAACTTGACCGTTAGCTGGATTTTAAAACCAATTTTTCGTAAGAAAAATCAGCCTACAAACATTTCGAATACTCTATATTTTCGTAAGTAACGTAATTTACTCATGAGTACAATTTAATATGTATACTAAACGTATTTAAATCCACTAAAAACAATCAAATCATTTGATATTGTATTGAATACGAAACAAAACTATATTTAATTTCCCTCTCCCATCATCTCCACCAAATTGATTCATAGAGAATGTTCATGCGTCTGGCTTAGACACGTTTTGTAAACGTTTCACATCTTATTATACGTCATACCGTAAATGTACTAAAAGTTTTTTCGTGCTAATTGATTTTACAAACTTCGTACGTATGCTCAAAGGAAATCGCACCCCAACGTACATACGTACATACTCAAATTGTTTGATGTGAGCGATTAGTGTTGAAGCCTTAGGGTATGATTTTAATCAAATTAAATCAATATTATTTATTATGTGTATCGTATGTTTGCCAAATTAAGAGACTTATGACTATTTAAATTTGGAAGACAACTTTTCTTACTTTTCGTGCATAACCTTGTAACTATGCACCATTAATACACTGCGACTAGACGCGTTTGTTTGTTTATACTTGATCACGATTTGGTAAAACGATTATGTAATACAAAATACAAAATACTTTGAGGGTGTATGTACCTTTTCCGCCAAAAATCGGTTCCTTGATTTACGGACAGCCTTATATCACCAGAAACGAAAAAGGTATAATTCTCGTTTTCGCCAAAATTTATTTTTTTGATAAGACAATTGGAAACCATGTACATTTGTTGCATACTCTTTCATTATAAATTTTAATATAAGTAGATAATAATAATATATTTGTCGAATATAGGTAAAATTATATTAGAGTTTTTAAAGTACTCGTATTACATAATTTCATATTATAATATGTCCATTCTATTTAACTATTTATAAAGTAAAAAACAAGGATAGGTCAAATATTGTCTAGATAGAGTTTTGAAAAAACACATATCGTCATTTTTAAATATTTAAAAATGTCACAAAAAATATAAATTATAATACGAATATATTTGAAGTTTTAAAATTATTTAAAAAATATTTCCACCTAGTTACATTTGTTTGTGACGTACAACCAAAAACATATTTAGCCCATCAAAAATCAACATTGATTTAACTCTTTTACTTACAAGAAATTCCATTTTAAGAACGGTAAGTAAGTAAGAAAGTTTAAGTACTCTGGTGACAAAAAGAACATATACTTAATGGAAATAAAAGAATTTAACATTTGTCAGATAATTATTGTGTGCGAATTATAAATAAACTGTGATATCGAACAGTGTACCGTTATTATTAACCGTTATTATCGACGATTACCAGTGTATACGTTACAAATGTCTTTTACACATACCATAACATATATTCAATATTGCTTAAAAATTAAAACCAATGGTTTCCAAACTTTTTTTTGGTGGAAATGGCTTTTGGCGGAAACGGAAATTGTACCTTTTTCGTTTTTAGCGGTAAAGGTTTATGGCGGAAACGGTCAATATTATTTTGGTGGAAACGGGAAACTCCCCTTTGAGGTATCACGAGAGTAAATTTTCAAAAACCTGTATTTCAGGGATGCCTACAATACTTTTGGACCGTATCTTAACAAACGTTTGGATTTATTTAATAAACTATAATGGATAAATAATTAAATAAACATAACTTAATTTTTTTTTTAATACTGAGGTATATTAGTCCCAATGAATATGTTTTCGTTGAGTATCGTACATTTTTCTCAGATAGCTTCAATTATTTATAATTTGTATTTTTGTAGACGATTCTAGCTGTTATATTATCATAATAAGTTTTTGCACGAACGTTTAGAAAATGTAATTTTATTTATTCTATTAAAAAACATAATTTATTTTTAACAAATTTTTAGAAAAATTTGCATTTAATTTGAGCAACATCAGTTAAAATACGGCTTCTTACTCTTAGACTTAAATTTTAGGGCCTCATTTACAACATTTCAGGGGATGCTCCCCCCTCCCCCCTGTGAGCACACCTATAGTTATTGTTTCCATTACATGGTAGCAAAACGTGATGTGCTATGTATGTGGTATTTGAAAAACGGGTGAGAAAACAATTTACGAGTACTGCAGTGATAATTCTATTATACTATGCATTCACGACGATGAACAAGGCATTCGGAAAATAACAATTAAACGAACGAATCTGCGCTCGTTTAACAGTGTACATACATATTCTGTGATTAAAATTGTCGAACTGTTTTTTTAATATCTAATGTAGTGATTTTTTAAATAAAATTAACGTGCTGTATCGTCCTATGTAAAATGCACATTCACCTACAATACAACTAGTACGATTGAGAGCTCGGCCTGCAGTACTGCAGTTGTTTTATTGATAAACCGTAGACATTCAAATGGCAAGCGGGGGAGGGGGGCAGAAAAAGAGTTTTGTCTATTTTTGTAAAGATCAATTTTTTGCCAGTTAGAGATATTTGGTGATACATAATTTAACGTGTTAATATTAATGTTGAATTTTAATACTTATGTACACACATCATGTTAGTGTATAATTGTGTGTTGCGAATTATGGATTTCATAATTTTAGGTTTAAATCATTACAATGTTCAACATAACAATCGTTGGTATATACTTATCGTTAGATATTTAGTATACATAGAAAGAAAATTCAAGATTTAAACTGAGTAAAAATGTTGTCAACATATTTTCAAAAAATATAATATAATTATATATATATATTATAATTGTATATAACCATACCAACTAGATTAACATAATATAATCATATAATACACAATATTATTTTTGTTTTATTATGAAATAATATAATATTAAATGTTATTTTCTCTCAGCTTTTATTAACTGGGATAAACTGAATCATCGGCCGGAACACCGGGACGAGTGGCGAGCCTATAAAAAATTAACCTATTTTTTTTTTTTACAGTAGTAAATATACTGATATACTAATTTTCATCAAAATTGTTTTGAGCAAACGTTCAGTATAAAAATCAATTATATATAAGTATATTTTACCATTTTTAGCCTCTTTTTTTTTATCAACCTGTTTAACATTTTATTGATTAATGAAGACAATTTTTTTTTTAACCAAATATTTATCTGTATTCAAAATTTCATTATGATTGAATAAACCAATTTTTTTTTAATAAACATTTAAAAACAAATGTAAAATGTATCGGTAAATAAGTAAGCACTCGTATATGAATAAGGTGATATTACATTATCAAAAATAAAAATTTTATTACATAAAGACATTCAAAAAATTAGGTATTTTTAGAGTTCTGTATTTAAATTAAAAGCGATTTTGAAGATTTTATTAAATATCTTTGCTATAGGTTAAAAGTTTCAAGTATCTAGCCAATTTACTTTTGAAATTATGAGTAAATAACTAAAATCTGAAAAGTGAGTCTTATTTACAGCGTATTTTTAACATTTCAGGATAGTTTTTTTTCTCACGTCTGGAAAAACTATTAAGATTTAAAAAAATTACCTATCAAAAAATACCATCTCATGCCAATCTAAAAAGTTCAAGTAAAAACTTAAAAACTATAGAAAAAACTTTTGTCAATATTTCTATCCGAAAGTGTTAAAAAAATAAAATACAAATATCATTATAAAAACATAATATCCTTCATTTCACTCAGAATCTAAAATATATCATGTGATGAAACATTTGTGTTTACAGCCGAGTAATTCGTTATACGCGCAATAAAAATATAAAATCAAAATGAACAATTCAAATTTAGATATATTCAAAGAGTAGAACACGATTGCATACGAGCTGTAACTTTATAGCTTTTACACACGAGTATATCCATGAAAAGTAACAAATTAATTATTAATATATAAAATGAAAAATATTCAGTAATTGTTTTCTATTTATGCATTTATTAAATTTATAAAATATAACATACAAAATGTTATAAAAAAAAAAAAAAAAAATTAAAAAAAAAAAAAAAAAAAAAAAAAAAAAAAAAAAAAAAAAAAAAAAAAAAAAAATGAACATGAAAAAAACAAACAAACAAAAAAAAAACATGGCAAACATGAAAAAAAATTACAATTTTATTTTTTTGTTCTTCCTCGCCATAACAATCTTAACGATCTCTGTCGTCGTCAAGCCTTCAAAACGCATTCTCTATAAACATAATAATGATTTAATAATAATTTCTATTATATAATATGAAGAAACATTTTATCATTTTCAAACACCAGAAAATCAAGTGTAGAAAAATTATTAAAATAGAATTAGAAATATAATTAGAAATAGACCGATTCAACAGTAGTATAAAATTTACCCGGGACATAGGTATGGCCTCATCGTCGCTGATCTCAATAACTGACTGATGTGTCTGCAAATAACAAAATAGAAATTATATAAATTATTTAATAAATAACTGAGGTTGCTAACATTAAAATATCAGTTTTAATTTAAACCAAGTACAAATTGTTGTTTTTTTAAATATTTCAAAGTTCAAATAATTATTTGTAGACAAAAAATATCCAAGTCTGAATTATTGTGTGTAAAAATAGTTCCAAGTTCAAATAAAATGATGTGTAAAAATTATTTAAAATCGAAACTATTATTTATAAAAAAAAGAATAAAATACAAAGCCCAAATTATTGTGTTTAAAAATAGTTAAGTCCAAACAATTATTCGTAAAAAAATAATTCTAAGTCCGAACAATTGTTCGCAGGTTTCAGAAATAATTCCATGTCCAAATCGCACACGTACCAGGGCGGATGCGCCGGACGCGGTGTGCGGGGACGGTGTACGTGGCGGCGAGTAGGAAGGCGACATCGGTGTATATCGATATGTTTTCGATAAAGGACTTGACCGATGCGCCTTCCGGCCGACGCGGCTGGCACGAGTCGGCCCTCCCGCGGCGGGACGCGAATCGGCCGGACGAGACGGCGGCAGCGAAACGTCCGGACGAGACCAGTCTTTTCGACCGCGCACGTACACGGCCCACAGCCACTTGTGTTTCCTGAAGCGCTCTGGGTCCACCCGTGACACATCAGACAGCTCGAAGGAATACGACGATGGCAATGACGGCTGCGTTGAAGGCTGCGACGACAGAGTCGAAAAACGTGACATGATGTTTGTAACGAAAGAATATTGAAATATGATATTTCTTTTTTCTATTGTTCAGTTTCTTTGATGAAGTGCAAATGGGTTGTGAGCCGTTTGCGACGACGGTCTCGCCGGACCCGATCCCGTTGTCAACGGGCAACGAAACAACACATTTTTCGGTTGCTATAGACTGTAGGCGTGTCGCGATGGTACTGAAAAGAAATTAAATAAACGTAAAACAATGACGGTGTGCGCACCGGTGGTCAGCAATTCAATCACCGGTGGACCGTCTGCGTCATGTCTTGCTCAAACGCGTCAATTTCATTTTGAAAAAAAAATTTCGTAACTATTGATAAAACAGAAATATCAACCGATTTATCGCATTAAATTGCCACGATCAATTCTGTTTGATTATGTAATTCGTTTAAAAACGATTTATCAATGTATACAGTAAATTACGATAAAAAATACGATAAAATACATTTTTCCTTCTGGGCCCGCTCACGTTTATTTATTATTTTGATCTACTGGCAGAAATGGTTTTGCGTCGTTCGGATGTCTACAATGTCCGCTACGTTATTTCCTTTGGCCTTACATTATTTTCACACCGAGTCCCTTCGGACTGAATTTCGTTTTTTTTTTTTTTGTACAAAAATGTTTAGCTATTTATAAAAAAGATATTAACATAATATATATAGTAGATTACTAGGTTAACAAATTAGCGATACAGTTTATAGATTTAAGATAGTGTTACAAGCAATGAACGATCTACAAATAGTATTTGTATCATTGAAGATAATCCAATGTAGGACGTCATGAGGACGACCACGTTTTAGTCTTCGATTGATGGGGCCGACACTGTATTTCGTTCGCGATGTCCATATGGCTGCTAGATCGTCGTAGAGGTCTGCGCGTGAAATTAATATAATTAAATAATACTTGCTTAAAAATTCGACTAAAAACTAATCGCCTTAACGTGCTCGTTTGCATCACGATCGGAATCGTCATTTGAGCTTGTATATATTAATACTATTAACATTTTATTTCTTTAAAATCTGAAATAAACTATCCCCAATAGATTTGTTGGGTGCTAAATCTAATTTTTCCATTATTATATACACTTTTTAAGGGGGTGCGAATTTCAAATTTTTATTGTTAACATACAATTTCAAAATCCATAGATAATAATAAAACTAAATGACTGGTTAACAGTAATTTACTTTAGTATTTCTAAATTTGATAGAAAACATATCATTAAATATAGATATGTTTTCTATCGAATTTAGAAATAAATATAGTTAAAAGTATAGTTTTTTTTTTTTTTTACATAGTTTTTATATATTAAAACCTATATCATTAAATATAGATATAATTTTTAATAAAGATTTAACTTCATCGTTTAAGTTCATTTCAATTTTAGTATGAGATTTCAACAAAGCTGATACAATTGGATCATGTAGAAAAAGTTATCTATGAACTATACATATATTTTTGTTTATTCTAGAATTCTTGCGTGTATAATATTCCCTTTTTTTATTGTAATTTTCCTACTGGATTATACTTCTAAAAGTTGTACTAAAAAAAATAAAAAATAAAAAAATAAAAAATAAATAACAACTGTTTTAAGTATAGATTTTTACTATAAAGCTGAATAAAATATTAACTGATTGGGAGAAATGTATATCGAATAACATTCTATGCAATAAAATGTAAGAATATAATTTCTTAATTTTTATTTGATTTGCTTTAAGTATTATTCGAATTATTTTAGGTTCTTTTATGTTTTGAAATGAATATCTGATGCATTTGATATCATTAACAATAAACATAGCTAAAAAAAAAAAAAGCTATAAAACACAAAGTATAGTATATATATACATTCTCAAGTTCACTCGTATAGATATGTGATAAACACCAATACCGGAATGAAAATTGGCATCGACGCTTAAAACTTTGTACGCAATCGTGTAGTTAAAAATCAGGTAAAATCGTACCAAATCCTGTAGCATGAAAAGGTATCGCCGATGACAAACGTAAGCAATCGTGTTTTTCCTCTATTCAAATATTTACCAAATATTTTAGTAACTATTGAATTGTATGGGTTACGGGTATTTACAACCATTAAGGAACACGAAAAAAATAGAAGAGCTTCAGCAACCCCAGTTTTTTCATTGAAATCACACCCCTGAGTGGGTGTCATTGCGTTCGGACTAACGATTTGTACATACAACACGAGTATATAAATATATAAATATATAAATATACATATATGTCTATATTATTATTATTATTATTATTATTATTATTATACGTTTGCGGTGATCGACGTGACATTTTTCAAAACATCACATCATGAACAACCGCACACTCGACGCGAAGCCCACTCCGTCTTACAAGGTAAAATGATTACCACGCCGCGGCGTTGTCGGCTGAAATCGATATTTCTTTTTTCGCTCACCGTATCGTAAATTGGCAATTTGTTATGATTATAATTATGTTATTGATCCCGAATGAAACAAGTAACGCATTAAATCGGATTTCTCCGATCGTCAACTTGTCTATTATGATGATGTACCTATGATTTGTGCATTCGAGAGGTAAATTTTTAAAATGTTCAATACTGATATTAATTCATGGATCATTTCGATTCCATTGACATCTGTTGAATCGCCGTCAGTAAGAAGAATGTGTAAGTCTTTGCAATGTTTTAATAGTTCTTCGTGTGTTACATTTTTTCATTTTTTTTCATACCGTGAGGAAACGAAAAATTGTTATTATGTTCTTTTACCTGTTCAAATTTGTTATGTACATTATTCAAAGCTACATCAAGTGTTAAAGTAAAAAACATTTATTTTTAATCGCTGTTTTGGGTCAATAACTGGCTCACCATTGTTTTCGTAATCAAAGTGTTTGCGAATACGTCGTGGTAAGGTTCGATCTCATAAGTTTTCAAAATCAGATTATACTTCCATTTCCGTTTTAAGTGATGTTAAATCTATAATGATTTTCTCAAAATATTCTTGTGATCTTAGTTCCTTTACTTGTCTACATGTTCCAATAAAGTTTCTAAAATGTTCAAAGCTAAGGATATCTCACAATTCGGTTTTTGCATTAATCTACTGATTGGATTTATTTGATTAAGTATGTCCTACCAAATGATAATAATTAAAATTTCAAAAAAATGTGCAGCCCTATGCGTGTGTTATAAAATTATAAAAACATTATTATTATTTATTATTAAAATATTGTCTTATAAATATTAAAGGTAATTGTAATATTTACCCTGAATGCTTATGTTAATATATTATATGTAATTTATGAATAAAAACATTTTTTATAATTTTTATTTCTAATTTTATAAAAAAAAAAGTAATTTTTCTACTATATAGCTAAGATAATATTTGTCCTACCTGGTCCGACTCTGGCGCCGCCACTGATCAACACACGGAGCTTTTACAGTAGTAGTGGTTAAGGTCGGTTTAAGTTCTTTCAGCGCCAACTGCAAAAATCATTTTGGCACCCTTTCCTCTTAAAATACTTAAACCTACAACTCGAACAGGCAGAATTAGGGAAGATCGAAATAATTTTCCAAACGTGCATATTTGTAAGCCATATAGAGACAATAATAATAATAATGTAATGATAGCTTATAAAACTGTAATTCTACCTACAAGTACGGTCACTCCATGCATTTTGATATAACGGTATAATTTATATATAACTACAAAGTAAAAATTTGTTTTTTTTCCTTTGAGTACCTAGCTTATTTGTGTTACCAGCATGTAATAAAATTTAATTCTGATTTTGACAACTCTCACGTACCCTTCTGATTTTAGCGATTTGTGCCGTTGCACGCGACGATCCTATTTAAAAATGGCCCCCTGATGATGAGTCTTTGCAGTGACATATTTTCAATATTTTTATAGAGGGTGTCTAAAATTTTTATATAAAATAAATGGTTTTATAATAAAATAAAAAATAACATGCGAGGTACGAATTAATAATTATATTATTTTATTATTGTTATAAATAAAAATGAAGAGTTATTTACAACCACATGTTATAAATTAATGTCATATTTGTAATATGTTTATAATATGTAATTCGTTTATATCTTTTAAACCTATATTTCACCGGGGAGGGGGGGTCGAGACCTGGAATCCTCTCATCCCCCCACCGAAATACGCCCCTGAGTCCCTGCGCGTGGTCCGAACGTTTGTTCGGGCAACGTCAATATTTTTATTCCTACAGTCCGGTTTTAATTCGTACATTTTTCGCCTAATGATAATACGCCGACTGTTAATAACGTGATTTACAATTTCGTGCAGTTTTCCTCTCCTCCCGTAGGTAAACGAATTGTCGTTCGTTCGGTTTTGGTTCGCACACCATTCGCGTGATGTTATTGTTTCCCGAAACAATTGACCACAGCGACGTTCATTCCCCCCGTAACCATTAATACCTGACGGTCGATATTTGCTATTTGTTATTTTGATCGCACAAAACGATTTCTGTTGTGGTTACCCTTTCGCCCAGACATTTATTGCGTATTTATGTTGAAAACAAATCATTTTTATCGTTTATTACACGTCATAAACGAACTGAAACCCGTTTTTTTTTTTCATACGCTGCGCGTATAATGAATGCGTTTATAATGTTATTGTAGTACTTTACGACTAATCTCGGTGCGCGGAAAATTACTTCGAAGTTTGCTTAGATCTTTGAAGAGATTTCGACCAGGAAGTTTAACATAATTTATTGTTCGCATATTTATATCACTCGTAAATCGTGAGATTCAACAGATTAACGGAAACGTACATATTTTTGTATGATATATATACGAAAACAAAACAAACATTAACAAAACAGTCGTTACGAAACCAATTAATCATTCGTGTTATTTTTATAAATATTATTATGTAACTATTTTATTCCACATGAACAACAGTAATATAGAATAAAAATAACATTCGTCACATAACATACTGGTAGAAATTGCAATTGTTCCACATGAGTTCGAAAAATAATAAATAAACTAAAAACTGCAAGAACTGTATTTTTATAA